TGCATGGCTGCCTCTATCGTGACATTGAATTCACAGTCGTCCGCGAACAGGAGTTCATGGAGAACGGTCGTAAATGACTGCGCAGATTCTTATGTTCATTGGATGCTGAGAAGACGACCACCGGTCCTGTAGGCGATGGTAATGCCAGGGCGTACAGAACCATGGTAAAGAACATTAAACTTCAGAGGATGGGAGGAAGTACGCAGCTCTGCCTCACCCCTTTGGACAATGGGAATGCTTCTTAGACCGTCCCAATTTCGGTGGCGCACACCATCATAACGTCGCGAAGCTGACCTACCATGTGTGTGAGACGCACAGGACAACAGAATTCATCCACGACTTACTAGAATACATCACGATTCAATATGTCGAGGCCTTCGTGAAGTCCGCTAAGTTGGTGTGGAGTCTGACATGCATTTCCTGACAGTTCGCTTGTAGATTCCGGCCGGCGAATGTCATGTCGGTGGTTTGGCGATGTCGTCGTAAGCCACACTGGCTTTCCTGGAGAAGCCTGTGCTACAGATTGCCCTTAAGACGACTGAGAACGATTCGAGCGGAGATCCCGCCATTATTCAGGGGCGAGCTGCCTGTTCTCTTTCCGTTTTTAGATATGGACGATAGTCTCGTGCGCGAAATATTGGAGGACTTGTCCTTGCCGCAACATCATCTGGGACAGCAATATGAGTTTTTCCATCGGTCCCGGGCATTCGTCCTTGTGTAGGTCGGCCAGGATTGCGGTGGATCCCGGTGCTTCCACGCTGGAGGGCTGTTGCACGGCTTTGATTGTTTCTAGGAGCGAGGGCAGGAGATCCAGGTCGTTGTTCGCTTCCACTTGTGGGAGTCCGTCGATGGCGGTTTCGGAGACGGTGGATGGGCGGTTGGGTACGGTCCTGAAATGCACGGCCCAACGCTTCAGAATGTACGATTTTATATAGTAAATGTTGTTCCTTCAGAAATGTGAAGCGGTGCGGTTCCTTTACCAGTGGGGCCGTAGCTCACGTGATTTATACGAAGAAATTCTTCGTATGATTGCTGTCCGCATGTCTTTGTATTCCCTCGACCTTACGATTAATCCACGTAGCGTGCATTTTCTGCAGCCATTGCTGCAACACCCGATAACAACTGAAGAAGGTCGTCTATTATGCGTCGATACGACAGCTGATATAGGCGTTGTGCAGCCTATCGTCCTGGGTGAAGAAATTGCAGATTTCTGTGATGTTGTCGTCGAACAAGTCCTAGTGCTGACGACTCGCACTGTAGAGGAGTGGATTGTGTTCCGCGGTTAACACCGCTGTGTCCCCACGGTGGTGTTTTCATCCGGTATTTGAAGGTCTTTCAGCGCTGAGATGATTAATTGTTGAAATGCAAGCGGTGAGCAGACACATTCAACAGGACAGTATTCAACTTACCCGGTGTTTGCCCAACATGTGGAGTTGAGAGGGCGCTGATCCGTCCGGCTGTTGGCGTAGTAGATAGTCTTTATCGCAAGCACGTTCCGTTGATCTTGCTTTCGGAAGAGGACGTAATTCAGCGGCTGTCAACGCCGTCATCAGGGGTGCATTCATGATGCCTTCCCCACAATAGAAGGTGAAATGTGTTGGCCAGAAGCCGAAGACGTTTTACGCAGGTTCACTAAAAGAAGAGGCCATTGCGACTATAACCGCCAAGCCCATGGAGACCCAAAATTTCTTCTCACGCTGCGCAGTCTGTCTAGGCGCTGGCGTTGAAGTTCTCAAGGACAAGCGGCCTGGGTATCTTGGGAAGAATCTTCAGGAAGACGTGCATGTTCCCGTAGAATTTTTTCCTAGTTGGTCGTTGGGGGTGACATAGGCACTGATGCTTGTGGCGAATTGCTTTCCCAAGAAGCAGGTGCACAGTTATGAGGCGGTTGTTGATGTCCTGCGGCAGACGGAACAGTCGTATCTCGATGTCTTTCTGAATGGCTAAGACCATACCAACGTCGCGTCGCCTTGCCTTTGGATGGCCGCTCCAGATTGAGGGTATAGCCCGCATCTGTGCCCACACAGCTGACCCTGTTTGACGAATCGGGTCTCTTTGAGGGTACTAATGTCCATTTTGTAGCTCGTCATTTCTCGAGTGACGGGCGCCGTCCTGCTTCCTGACCGAATGTCCCACCGACTGTTTAAAAGAAAATGTACATTCCAGGATTTCAGAGTTACCAGAGTCACTCGGGCAGCCTGTGAGATGGAGCGGGCGGAGAGAGACAAGAGTTGCTTTTATTTGACTGTTTCGGCCGTGAGTTGAACATCGCCTGACTACGGTCAGCGTGAGATGACATGATGCCTGCATGCTTTTAAGGCACCTTTTCTAGAACCTTCCCACCACCCGAGGGAGAAAACAGTGATGTGCCTATATAGGACTGCTCAAACATCCTGGACGGCTGCCGAAACTCTATTATGGTTTACGGCTTGGTTTAGCTGGAGAACGACCCGAGTAAGTCTGGGCCATATCATCCGGTTTAGTCTGTCTGTCGGGGCAGCTGCCGGATCGCGCAGTGCTTGGCTTTGGGGTGCTGCATATGAGGGTTGGGTGCCACTTAAGAACCCTGTGGAGCAGCAATTGCCAGCACGCGTCAAGTGATGCGACCTACAACACCTACACGGTTGACTCCCTAATCAGACACCCCTACTACTATTCGCCCTAGTTCGTTAGTATAAACACGCAGCAGATGTGCTCCAAAAATAAATTATTTAAGTAGTTCTCGAATCTGTTATGTAAAGCCTGTCCCGCCTTCAAATCGGCGATTAATCCTTCGAGATCATGTTCCCTGCTACCTCATTATTGCTGCACCACGTAAGTTTTTACTGTTTTCGGACTCGAAGTGTCACGGGTTTAAAAGCAGTAGTGCTGATGTTTCAGCCCTCTTACCTCACTCAATTTATGTGGACGGAAATATCGACTTTATGTCAACAAAAGCTGTTTGTAGACGCTTTTAACTACTACGTCAATTCCACCTGGAAAACAATATGTCCAATCACGCAAGCCTGGTTTTACGATACTTATAAGCATTGAAAATCTCCTTCGAATTTTCCTCACTGTTTTAACAGTATTCTGTGTGAGAAAAGGACGTCTGTGTCTCCGGTGATGGGTAAATAAATAAAATCCCCAGAATTCGCGCCACTTCGGTCCTCAGTTCTCACCACCAGATGTCTACGTTGCATCGACAGGGACGCGTAGAGACTAAGACTGAAGCTTTTTAAAGCGCACTCATGTCACCGGCCATCAGTCGGTCATGTTCCTGACCAACAAGTGCAACTGGGAGCAGCGGTGAAAGTTGAGAAACGCAGTAGTGAGAATTTGGACCATTCATTTAATCCCTTTGCGTACGGCACAGTAATTTCATCAGTAGACTTTTCGAACGGAGCAGCCATTTTGTCTAACCCCTTCACTTGTAAATATTTTCCCACTATTACGTATAATAAAGATTACTGAGCTGTCTGTAGTAACATTTTCCTCCAATGTAATATGCTGCACTGGTGACGTCAATTTCGCACGACGCCTACTTATTTTCAGAAAAAAATCGCACGCTCTCAATCTCACTGAGACTAATATCCCTTTTTGATAGGCACACATAAAGTGAATTCCCATAATCGAACTACAGCCAGCGAAACTTTTGAAACGATGTTCTGCTTACCTGAACTGCTGTCACACAGATGGAGATTTTCTTTGGCGTCTTTGTTGACGAGAGCACATCGTTCAGGGAACGGTAAACTCAGCGAAACCCAACTACATGCGGCCTGTTCACCAGCTGTGCCATACTCAGCACTGATACAAATCCATCACAGGAGATGCACCGACGAGGCAAGAGGATAAAGGGTTTTTCCTCCTCCTCCTCCTCCTCCTCCTCCTCCTCCTCCTCCTCCTCCTCCTAAATCAAGTGAGGGCATCCTTGGGTGTATGCGCGCGCACGATAACATTGCTCTCCTCCCAATTCCTTTCTCTCCTTCTCCTCCATTATTGCTCCCCCTTCGTCCTTATCCTACGATCTTTGTTTCCCCCTTTTTCTGCGCGTTTTTCCTCCTCCCCTTTATCTATTATGCTCCGTCCTTTCCTTCCCCCCATCCACACCATGCCTCCCCCTTCCCCTCTCCCGCTCCTTTGCCGCTCTGTTCTATACTATCTTTACTCTACTCGCTACCCCCACAGTCGAAAGGTCTTAGAGCGAGGGCACCATGTAAGCTTGTTAGCGGCCCAGGCAAATCGGGTCGTTCTAACACTAAACCAATACGTGTCCCATAGTGGAGACCGCAACCGTCTGGTGCGACCAAGGTGCCCTAAACAATGTTGAGATAACTTTCTCTGCGCGTTAACCACAACTCGAACGCGCGAAACACACGGTCAAAGCAATCAAGTCCGAAACGACGCTCTCCCTCATCCCCTTCCTCCTCCTCCAGCCCCACCCGACAGGATGGTAGGGTAAGACTCCTTAATCTGGCATCCTGAAATGGTCACTCCCCGAGGAATGTTCACATCCGAGGAGAAACCGACAGGAACGGAGGATAGCGCTTGTGGCTTGGGTAATTGCGCGTTACAAGGTGGACATCCCTGCACTCAGCAAGACCTGGTTCTCTGAACAAGGTCAATCAGAGGATTTGGGCGCCGGCTACACCTTCTTCTGGAGCGATCGCCATAGGGCAGGTCGACAGGACACTGGCGCGTAAACACCGGCTTAAAAACGCCCTCAAATGGCCATTCGATACCAATTTATGACGGAGATGCCGGAACCTACATGCGCATTCTTCCAGGTCGCTGAAGTGAATCTGAATCCGCTTTGCGCGTATTTTCTAAGCTCGCCCTAAAGAAATAAGTGATTAATATGATCAGGCGTTAGGTTTTGGATTGGCGGATAACAGAAAATTGTTGAGAAGTACTTAAGAATTTAGAATAGTCGTTCAGTCAACCTGAAATTTTGCCACATTTATTTTACTGCACTGAAATTCGAGCAGATTGACTGAACTGGACGCCTTTTGGTGCCCAGTATGTCTACAAAAAGACGAAATTTTAGTCCCGACGCTGATATAGCGTACTTTCACGACCTTGTGAAATGTCTGTCCAAGGATAGTGTGTATGATGCGAAAGGGGTCTTGCTCTTGTGCAAATCCCTTTATCCCACTTCACAAAAAGTCAAAGTAAACAACTTCATTTTATATATATACTTAAAGATCATAGAGTATGAACTGTCTAAAGTGATGGAGAATTACAAGCAAGCAGCTGTCTTGTTATCAGAAATATCCAACGCTGAGGACCCGTTCGTCAAATCCGAAATGCATACAATTGTTTCTAGCCTTATGGTCAGTGGCCCCGGGGCGGATACGTTTGAGCAAAGTACGTTCTCATATTCACGCTGCAGTCGTAGAGGCAATATTTCCATCCACTTATCTTTTGGTAACTATTTTAACAGGTAGATTGATATCTGTCCACAAAGTAATTGTGTTCGTCGTAACCTGGTTGATAGGCTTCGGAAAAAAGCCCTAGCAACCTAGTACTTGCAGACTACCGGCTTACAAAAAGTGGTTAACCACCTTTGTCGCTTCTGTTAGTCATGGTGGGCTGTCCAGAAACGTTCATCCGGCAGGCTCTTGTTACATTTCAGATGTCCAACCGCAGCCAAGTACTTCTTTTTCCACACCCTGTTAATGTGCATTTTCTTGCTTCATTTCACATATCGTATTGAGCTGGGAATAGCGATCTAGATAGCAATTCCAGTTATCGCCCACTTTTCAGAACTTTACCTCGGAAATGTCTGAATCAGACGTTTCCGATCGTTAGCTGGATTTGGTACCGGAGTACAAAACATGAGCGTTAATAGTTTTTGGAGTCTCGTTCAACTAATATAACTGCTTTTGGTTCTGACTTCAGATGTTTCATGTTAAGATTCCTATATAGGAACTAGTATTGCTCACTCATCTGGCAAACCTTCCAATTCTCCCATGGACTGAGTTTCCTGTCTGCAGTGACTTTCCGCCTTTTGTTGACGGAATTATGAAAAATATTGTTTTCCTCTGGCCGTCGATCTATAGACTCTCTCTAACAGTCCGAAGTATAAATACCCATAGGCCTTTTGTTAACCACTTCGTGTTTATTGTCTGCCGAATATCCTCTTCACGGGCAAGCAAATGATGTGCAGCATCACTCCGACCCGCATTATTGCATGGGTTGGAAGTTTTGTTCACTGTAGCGAAATCTCCTTGGACCTACAAAGCTTTGTCCGCCATTTTGAGAACATGTTTCCATTCGATCTACTTATTTTCTGCAGGAAAAACCTTAGATATGACGCTTATTTGCGTAAGTGTGGCCATCGTGGTTGTAGTCAGTCAGCCAGAAGGCTGTGACATTCACAGGATCCTGGAGAGAATTAGCAAGTATATGCTCACATGCCCGGCTTTTAGACTATTATATCTAAGTCGCAACCGGGTCTTAAAAAGGACATGATCGAAACCATCGTCGTTCCCAATGTCGGAGACATACATTGCCCGAAACTCCAACCTCAGGTTGACCTTCTTTACTCTTTTTAGTGTAAAGTCGACTTGATTTTTTTCATGGCCATCGTCTTATTGTCGATTAAAATGCACCACCCACTATAGCGAAAACAGGTTTTTCTAGTAACCAGTACCAATCCACCATTCGCACAACCTTCCATTACCTAGAGGTCGAGAATTTTCCTCATACATGTATCCCCATCACCCACTGCATTCCAATCCCTCCCAGTGACAAGAAGTTCATGCACTGTACACGCCTGCCAACCCCTCCGCCTCATCATAGAATGCCTTTTTCCGCTCGTTAGCATTCACTGTCGGGGCCTGGATCGCAACAACGACGGCGTTGATAACAGCATCACGAATTCTGAATTGCAATCTTAAGTGACACCAGTTCCTCGCCCTTAGGCGAAGCTTGAGGGGGGTTGCTCAGGACAAGTGAAAAACGCTGTCGACCAGACGCGTCTGCAGCATCAGTATATGGGAGTGGGAACCTTCTCTTCCCAATGCTTAAAACTCCATTTTCCCACAAGCCGTGATTTTGCAGGCACCTCTCGAAGAAATAGGAAATGTTCACTTGGTTTACTAGTATAGATCTGGATTCGTTAGTTTCTGCCAGCACTGTAGCATGTGTCGAGAATCGCCAGCGAGGAACTTATATCTTCATGACAATTTAGGGACTCATTACAAGCAGTGTCCTTTAGTCCTCAACATGGCCTCTAAATTGACATGAATTCCAAAAGGCATCAGTGCCAAGACCCACTTGTGTACTGTTACTTCATGCTCATCAAAATCGGACTCCGCGGCATATGCCAAAGTAGTCGGCCTGCCAACTGCTCCCACTATTGCCCATTAACCCGATTTAACGGTCCTATTTTACGGCTAGCTCACACTGAAAGTTGTTCCTTCGCTCAGTACCCCGGGACGCAGTCAACAGAAGAGCCCCCTCGTTATTCTGATAATGAGTTTCACGGTAGAGCTGGTATAGACGCGCAAACAACTACACTTATTCTCTGTTTTAACAATGGATTCTACAGAAGTATATTCAGCTTATTCTGGATTTATCACTCACTTGTTCTTTTGCATATTCCTATCGACCGCCTATCCGTCTTATCGAGCCCAAGCAAGCTGGGCAAACACTTGACTGATTCCTTTTTGAGTGGTCTCTTCCGAAGTGCCTGTGGTCTCGAATCATATGCTGTATGTCGTTTATGTTACATGTTACGAATGTGTGCCCCCGGACTACTCTAAGTTTTCCTTTATTTCAAATATTATCTAAGATCCTTGGAAGGTTTGATGGTTTGAGGTGCTGGCCTTTGCTGCCTTTTTGACGATTACCGCCTGTCACTTCTGAAACAGACAGGGTTTATTCAAACAAGCAGAGAGAAGTGAATGGCCAGACGTTGTTTTCTAGCGAGATTGACATCTTCTTTGTTTCTCTCTTTTCTTTCTAGAGCTGTTTATGGCCCTCCCAAATCGTCTTCAGTACGATTTTGTTACTCGGTTTTGCTGGGAGTCTTTTACCGATGCAACATCTCAGGCCGATTTCCTGTTGAGGTTTATTAAGGACAAGACCGAGGGCCTTGATGCTGACCACCTGATTGCCCCACTGTGCGAAGTCCTCATAAAACTCTTGATGGATGCTGAGGTCGAGCACTGGCAGTCCTGTGATAAAGCCACAGTTGAAGTACCAACTACGACTGAAGTGGCACAAAAGAAATCCCTCGCCTCTCCACCGCCACGAAAATTAGCCAAGTCCCCATCTTCCTCTGGTTGCCCAGAGGAAGGCGAAGAAGGTGAAGTCATTGAGGCTGATGAGGACGACGGTGAGGAATCGGAGGAGGATTATGAAAACGGCGACGAAGACGTCAAAAGCAGCGTCCAAACCTTGCACAAAGTGCTCAATGTGTATCGAATGATTTTGGCTACGGACCTATTTCCAGTAATTCATCGCGTAAGTACTGTCATTCTGTTTTTTTTTCACACCAACCCTTGCCCCCTTTCTTTTCAGATGAGAAATACAATCAAGCTTGCCGGTCCGCAATTACAAACCCTCGTGATTAACTCCTTCCAATTCCTCCTGACGTTTGCCGCGCACATTCCCTTTGCCTCGGCTGCCGAACCCTTTCCGGCTGTTTCTGGGCTTCAAAAGCCGCTGCCGTGTCTTCTCCAACAGGAGCCACGGCGGTACCTACGTCTCTACTTGGACATGGCTTGCGCCCTACTGAAGTGGCCCGTGATTGGATCTTTTCAGGGTCAATCCCATAGCGATCTGATGGAGTCGCTGCTGGAGTGTGTTCGTATCTACGAGAATGCTGGTCTGGAAGGCAGGGAGAGTCAGCACCAGAAAAGCCGCAAACGTCATCAACGTGCTGCTTCTACTGCCGCCGCCGCCTCCCCCCTCAAGCCTCCCCCTGTTTCCGCCTATGCAGCTGCCAACGAGGCTGCCTGCATCTTCTGGAGCCTCCTCATTGAGGTGGGCCTGAAGTACGCCCAGAGCTGTGACAATAGTCTGCTTCCCCTCAGTGCCCCCAACATCCTGCCAGTTGGCACGAAGATGCAGCCCGACTCGGCTGTAGATGATGACTGTCTCCTCTTTCTGCACAAACTCTTTTCTCTTCAGCAGGCCTTTGAAGGCCAATCAGTTACAGGACGCAAAAAGAGCCGTGGCGGTGGAGGAGGTAGGAGCGAAAAAGCTAGCGGATCCATCCTGCAGGTTATGCATGCCTCTCTGCGACCCCAGGATCTGGCAGTCTTCTCTGCCGGTGCCTCTAGTCTACCCAAGTTCATGTTTGAGTCCTGTCAGCTGGAGCGCTTTCTTCGTTTGCATCTCGCTCTGGCGGGCTTGTTTGACCCTTCGACTGGTGATCAGGTCTTCTGTTGGGCAGACGAAGTCGTTGGTGTCGCGACTGCCCTCACAAAGGCCACAGACGGCACCCAGTCGGCCGTCCCCCTATTTGTACTGCCTTATCCTAGGGGGGATTTGCTGCGCCTACATTGCCTGATAAAGGCTGTTCGAGCCAGACATACCCCACCACAGAATCGAATTGTTGAACAGGTTGCTTGTTTTCAGCGACTCTTCAGCCTTTTGGAGGCACCTCCCTCTTCATCTGTTGATACTCTCCAGCCTCTTACTAATATCGACAGTGGCGAGGGCCTACTACACCTGCATCTTTCAAGTGATCATCAGCTCCTGCAGATTCTTGAGACCATCATTAAGCTGTGGCTTTACTCTAGGCTGCGCGAGACGAGACAACTCTCAGACAAGCAATCTGTTGATCTTGCTCTCTTTATCCTGATTCTTCATCAGAACGCAATTTGGTCGGAAGTCCTCATGAAGGTTAATGCGGATATACTAAGAGACATTATGAAGGTGATTAAACAGAACTGGGCGACGATTCGGTTGCAAATTCTTGCCTGGATTAAATCAGGATTCGTTGTGGACTTTAGTCTTCTCACTCACCTGGTTCATATTGAAACCGAGGCCGGCTCGTCCACCAATGAGATGTAAGCCTATATTCCCTTTTATGCATTTCATAACCATTATTATCATTTTCACCGTGTTTATTTAAGCAGCTGCTAATAATAGTAACGTCCGAATGTCTCGCGGGCATGTGAAATATCTCGCATTAGTATGGCAACGTTATGTAAAGTGGGACTAAATGAAGTAGGTAGAGATTTATTTAAATCCGTCATTTGTAATCCGAGCATTAACCCTAGCGTTAATCGAATCGCATATCCTGTAAGCTCTTGATTTCCTGCTACAGCCCCCTAAGCAGATTAGGTGGGCCATCTGTTAAACTTTTAACGACCAACGTCCACCGTCACTTTGCTACCGAGAAACTATAATAAATGGCACATGAAGTCATTTATTGCCTCATTTTAGGGACTTCCTGTGTAAGCCAAAACTTATTGAGCATCAACTGAAACAGTTAATTGCGCTCTTAAATGGAGAGAAAACAAATTGCCTAGATGGGCTTGCGATGGCGGAAAATTTTACTGACAAAGACACGGGCAAATAAGACGGCCATTTCTTGCTTGTGACTACTTTCGGTGACCCACCAAAACCACAAACAGCGCTCGTACCATCAGCCTACACTGGTGGGCGTTCCTTGCAACTTTGAATATTCCTACTCGAGCTTGTATCCCATGTCTAATCTAGTGACCAAACGAACCCAGGCGCAGACATCGGGTCCACTTGATCCACCACTCATTACATTAATTCCCTAATAGCAAGTCGGATGCGCACCAACTGCCTTTGGAGGTCGACACTGTGAAATGTTGATAATGTACCGAAGGCGACTTTGTAAAACTATCCAAGAGCAGCGTAAATCCGGGAAATCAAAACACATTTTCTATGCAGCCATTTTCATTTTACCTCTCTCCCCCCTCCTCCCTCCCGTATGCTCAAACCTTCCTTACGCCACCTACAACAGCAAGAATAAAAGTGCGGAAAGTCTCGGTGTCGTTGTACGATCTTATATATGTAAACCGTTGTGCAAAATATGTAGAAATCGACAACGGTTATTAGGGGACTATGCAGCATTAAAATATGTTTATATGAATGTACGAATGTGTATAGAAGTTTAACCTTACTTCCACTTGTTACGGGTCATGCACATCAATATGTCCCCTTTAGCTCCAGTGAGATCTTCGACATAAACTTATTCCTTTCTGCGTTAAAGTTGTAGTTTTCCCGGAGAAGTCTTCAAATTAAGAGCAAAGTCTTCAGGACGCGATGTTTCGAGTTATTTCTCAAAACGTCTACGAAACTTTGGGGCGAACGCCACCAAACTCAGCTAAGTTGCCCTGTAATGTCGCTGGTCGCGAATCCAGCGATAGTATAATTCGCGCAATTTTAGATTTGAGATCGTGCTGCCAACATGGGTAATAGCGAAAAGTTCAGGGAAGTTTTCACCTATTTCTCTGATGTCGCGTTAATAATACACTATATACGTATACCGACAGGGACAGCAGAGACATAGGTGGCCATTTCTGGCTTGCTAGCCGTCGTAGGCCAACCATATCCAACTCGAGGTGTGAAACACCTGCGACTCGATGCCGCGATCTGTTGGTTGGAAATCGAACACCTCTAACTACTGAGACGCGGGCTCGTCGTTCTGTCAGTTGCGACCGGGTATATACAATGCTAGAGGTCTTGGACTTCTAACCAAAAGGCCGCAGGATCGAGCCCCAGGTCTTCTACACCTCAGGTTGGGTATGGCCGGCTGACGACGGCTAATAAGCCAGAAGTGGCCACTCCAGTCTCCCTGGTCTTTGTCGAAAACATTACGCTGCCTATATTGCGTGCAGCCATGCGGCTGCTAGCGGGGCTCGCGAAAGAGAGAGCCAAGGCACAACAGGACGAGTGAGTCTCGTAGCGCGGTCGGTGAGCACCTCTTTACCATAATTTGAGAAGCCCGCCTTAATGTGATTAGTGCAGATGCCCCGTATCTGATCTAGCTAAGTAAAACGTCAGACAAAAGCATATCTCTCCCGGTGGACGTCTGATATAGTGCGTGACAATCGCATCTTTGTTACTATCAATGCTTTCACTTCTGTTATAAATTACCGCAAATTTCTTCAGCTAGCTTTCATAAAAATTAATTTGTTCGGGTTTTGGTGAAGTGAGGAGTTTTTCGACACTCTCGCCCGCTTGGTTTCGGTACCTGTTCCACTTGTTAACACCTACCCACACACACAATTGCCGTTTCCTTAAAATTTATGATTTTGTGGAATCGTCTCTCCTGTCTATTTAGGGAGGAGTCTGAGTTGGTGAGGACATGCATCTCGCGCATACAGAACCCATCAGACAAGCCGATCGTCCTTCTTTTGGCGGATTTTCTCAAAGCCGAGGCCGTTAACATCCGCGCCTGCTTACTTCTCCAGTAGATCTCCGCCCCACCCCGTTCCCTCCTCCTTGTGTACAGACACCCTTTGCCTTGTACATAATTTTGTTTGAGCACTGTCGGGTTATCACTGTGTTTGTTCGCACTATCGCATCTCAGGCACTAAGGATATTGCTTTTCGATTGCATGTTCGACATGCTATAAATGTGGGCGAGTTTGGTGTTGGAGCCTGTGAGCCTGGTCTTGTGGCCAGTATAATTTGTCAACGATCGGAAAATACTTGGGGCGGGACGGCCTTAAACCACTAATCGACCTCATCTCGTTTCCGAGCTCTTTTTCGCGCTGATGTACACTAGCCATACCAATTAGTCCCGCAGTCTTAAATTCGGAAGATCCGTTCTGATTTTCTATTTAACTGGCTTTTTGGATGTCTGCTGAAAGCACAAATGCTTTGGACGACTGGTGCATCCATTATCATATTGCCAAAATTACTAAGCGCACAATTCAGAGACTAAAACAGGAGGTGAGGGCGTCGACTAAATCCCAGCAAGAATTTGTGAACGCGGCGATCCTCGGGACCAGCTGACCTCGTTGTTCTGGATGTGGACATACAGACAAGTACCGTAACGCTTTGCTGACTCCACCACTTATCACCTCAGACGTACGGGGAATCAGCACGTTTGTGGTTATCACCATGGCACCTCAGCCCGTGTTCTCGTCGGGAGACGGAGTGAGCATTTCAAAGAACACCCCAAGCCAATGACACGGTCTTTGTGCCCGGCAGCTGTAGAGACGAGGACAAGTCCCTGCCATCGGCGTCGCCAACCAGTCTGCTCTGGAAAATCATGAAATACGGATGTCTAGAGTAGACTTTGCAGATAGAGCGGATAGGAAGCATGTTAATGCGCGCGCCGCAGACCACGAGCCAGTCTCACGGCTACGTATCAACAAACACTGTGTAGTTGGGCCGCGTGCCTGCTCCCACCTTCTAGAAAATGAGCCAGGGATGCCCAATTCAACTGCATCGCAGATACCTGCGAGAAGCGAGGCTGGCCATGAGTTACTTTACACATACACATGGGGAAATAGGTACATGCGACTTGCTTCCAGGGCATTGACCACTACTCATTCATTTAAATGCATGTCTTGTACGTACCAAAACAAATTATGCAGATATACGCAGGCGGGGAGCGCAAATATCGTCCATCTCACCAGCAAAAACTATTGCCTGTTATTAGCCCTGCTTGCACGGAATAAGTAGCTCACACAAATGGGCACGGAACCAAAGCGGGACTGAATGAGTTACTCGGTAGGCGCCTACTTTGTTAATCTGCAATGCGGAGTTCGGCCGACGGGCCACATTCTTAGCGGTTTGCTCTTTCCCCTGTATATCATTAGAATCGCCGCCACCACCACCGTCATTCAAACCGGAAAATCCTGCGTGAAACGGGGCTGGACGTGGGCGCGCCATCATCCTGAACGGCCGTCAAAACCGGAAAAGGCTGCGAGCGGTCAGTGTATTTCACAGTTCTGTACAAGGGAGGGAGGAAGTGAGGTGGGAAGTCATTTTTTCTTCAGTTCAGCCAGGGCTGCCTGGAGATCAGCCTCCTTGACGAAATCGCGTTTAGCCAGTTGCGCATTCTGTTTCGCGAGATCCAGTAGGTTTTCCAGGTCGGCCCCGCTGGAGAGATGAGGAAATGGAGGACAGTTAGACAAATGACGCCTCATTCCGAGCTGGCTATGAGGAATATTGGCATTGAAGAAATAGACGCAGTGGCCACACTACACTAAGCAACTCCGGTTGAGTAAAGTACTCAGAGGATGGGGTCTGTGTCTAAAAAATGTGTGTGAAAAACCTCAGCACCTACAAAATAACACAGTAACTTTCCTATTAAAGAAGGAATGGAGTTCTTCGGAAATTGGCGAAAGTGCTCAGATGTACAGAAGGGATTACCTAAATTTGGTCGCAGGAGGCATGGGCACGGAGCAAACTCAAGTTATTTTATGCAGCACGGATTGCAGGTTTTCGACAGTCAAATTTCCAGATTCCCTCTTTAAGTCTTGTTATCATCCGATCTAGTATTCAGTAACAGCACGAGCCGTACGCGTGCTCGGCCGTTCTCACAGACCGCCAGCACAGCAGAGGAACAAAACACGATCGGCCGCAACGAAATGCGCTGAAGCCCGCACGTCGTCCCACTGAAGAAACTGCGTGTTACTTGCATCCCGCTCAGGTTGACTATAATTCGGCCTAATCCGGTCCAAAAAGAGAGGACCGGAGGAGCCGAGAAACTCCTCGCAGACATGGACCAATCAGGTTCTAAGGAATCACTGTGGCCTCAACCAATGCCGAGACGCCGTCGAGGACGTGCTTGCTGTACGCAGCTGGGACGCTCGCATGTGTTTTCTAGTGATGGATGGACTGTGTGTGGGCATTCTAAATGTCATATAGAGCAAATTTTCTCCCAGAAAATTAAGTTGCGAAAAGTTCGTTTCCTAGAGTTCCCTTGTGGGATGGTATTCATATTAAAAAATTGACAACCAAATTAGTGATTGGCACATAAACAGAGGTGATTTAAACACATCTTTAGAATCTGAATGGCATTATCCCATGTTTTTTAAGGATCCCAAAGGCTAAGTGCGTACGCTGTTTAAAAAAACTTCCAAAAACCCTTTATATCGCAACGGATAGGTCTTCCGAGATGGTATTAAAAAAGATTTCTGAAACAGTAAATACGCAGGCAGGAGTGTCGAAATACACAAGTTATCCAAACGTGGTTTCGAATACTGTTGGCTGACGGCGAGCAAAAAACCAGAAATGGCTGTCCCAGTGCCTCTTTGTTTGAACTCCTTCCTGTATAGCGCGTCGCCACACGAGGCCTCTAGACTGAGCATGCCTCGCAACCTGATCGCTGAAAGCTTTTCTCACGGCAGTTTGCATGCTTAAGAAAGTAGGTGTATACTGAACAACCGTCTCCAAACTGTCAAATTAGGACCGACTTCAGGCTAAAATTTTATTTTTGCTTCGATGAAAATTGCCAAAAACGACTGAAAAAACTGCGGCTGATGATTTAACATACTATCTGAAATGGCCCTCTGTCAATCCTTCCTCTTAGAAAACAGTTAATCTATATGACGGTAGAAACTGATGAGAAAAAATCCCTATAATCGGAGTGGCTGCAGCTATTTTGGTTAGCTTCACAGGTTTACGATTCTCGAAGTTGGGCTTAGCAATTCTGTGAAAGTCTCAGTGCACCAACGAGGCGATAATCAACGATAATCTCGGGTCGCCGTCCAACTTAACAGAGCTGTCGCACAGTCACTTAGGGGCAAGCGCTCAGAATTTGAAGTATGCCTGTCCGTTTCACAAGGGCAGACGCCGGAGAAGCCGCTATAAGGACTGTCCGCGGTGCGACTGAGGCCTTTCTTTACCACTGTTTGAGTTCTTTTTTGTAACGTGACATGATATTCCTTGACAGGATAGACGGCTCTGCAGAGAAATGTTTTCTGTACAAGATAGTTTGTCAAAAACGCACACTGAGCGGCACTCTAAAAGAACCCAAAAATGGTGCTGGGGACTATGTGGCTATGGCCAGAGCAAAACGTACTGCGTGCTCAGACAGAAAACTCGATTTTTCTGGTCCAAAAGTCGGTTTTGCCAACAAAAGCACACAGAAAAATAGCCCGGTGGGTTCTCTAAAACGAAGTGATGGAAAGTGGAGGGAAAAATATAGGGAAAGGGCAATTTAGTTCTGAAGGGTGGAATACCAACAAAGACAAAGAATGCTAGTATGGCCATTTCTTGTTTACTAGCCACCGTCAGCCAACCACGCCCAACCCAACGCAGGACTCGTATCCAGAGTCCTTGGTCGCCGAGCGTTTGAAATCCAATGCTCTACCGTTGGTCCACGGTCAGTGGTCTCGCCGAAGGGTGTTCACCGACCAGGCTGCAGGAGGTTAAAGCCCTTGCGGGCAGTCTGGACGATGGAGTCGCGACTCAAAACGCTCAACGACTAAAAAACCAGGTTTGAACCCCAAGTCAGCTTAATCTAGGGTCAAGTATGGCTGGCTGACGATAGCTAATAAGCCAGAAGCGGTCATCCTGGCTTCCCTTTTTTACCTGCACTTCAAACTACATATATTACTGGACTCTACGCAACTGCCTGCGAGAATTGAAGACTTAACCCCAGAGAGAAAAGCGACCGCCTTCCCCTCCCAGTTATGCCTAAGTATGAGCATCTTAACTTCAATTAGGAATACATGTATATATATGCGCAAATAGTTACGTCATGTTGTCAGTCCGTGGGTCCTCGGCGAGACGATTTAGGGTTGCCAGGCCGCCCTCAATGAGGGGGGCGGTGGCGCCACGAGTGCACGCGGAGAGGACGGAGGCCCGATCGCTGGCGCTTGCCGGGGGGCTGATGAAAAGATGAAGACCAAGGCGCCCGGGACGAAGGACGGCCTCGTCAATCATGTCCTTGCGATTGGTTGCACCAACGACAAAAACCCGAGCTTGTCGGTGCTTGTCGATACCGTCCAACTCCACCAACAGCTGGTTGACCACACTTACGCGACTGCCTGTGGGGAAATAAAAATGAACGTGACTATTAAAGAGGCGCCAGTCAGTGGTCTGGGGAGTTTGTAAGCATCACTTCTTAGGCAATTTAAAATACGGCTTTCGGAATACTGAGATCTGGCATCGACCCTGGCAGTGACAAACTGTGGGAATGGGTGTACACAAACAGCCAAGGCCTTTGCGAGGAGCCACAATAATAGATACCTTTCGCTCAAAGATTATACTACGTAATTATATAAAAAAACTCCGTCTGGTGAGCCGTCCCTTGGCGAAAAGTTGTGAGAGAGAGAGAGAGAGAGCCTTGAAATTAATTTTGGTGCGGGAAATGAACCAACCTGATGATTCGTCACCATCCCTCCGAGGACAGATAGCGTCGATCTCGTCGAAAAAGACGAGACATGGTTGACAGGCGCGAGCACGTTCAAATATCTCGCGCACCCGCCGTTCACTTTCGCCCTGATACTTATTTAATATTTCAGGTCCCTTAACTGACAAGAAGTTAAGACCAGCGGTGTTTGATAAGGCTTTGGCGATCAAAGTTTTCCCACAACCCGGCGGTCCTTCAAGAAGAACACCTCCTGAACGACGTCGAAGAGTTTGAGCGCGTTCCCAGTCGTCCACAAGAAGCTGCAAGCAAGCAAAAATACCGATTAGGTCGGCACAAGGAGAGGTAGTTATTTGCTTGGGGACTGTCACTCACCATAAACCGGTTATATAGATGAGTTTTCGTTTCCTCCAAGCCACCCACGTCCGACCAAGTCACCTCAGGGATGGTGACGAACTCTGACGTGTTCTTTGCAGCTGGAACGACTTGACTGAGGGCAACTTCAAGCACGTCACGTGTCACCAAGGTATTTATTTTTCCCTAAACACAGAGAGTGTTCTTTTAGACTAATTGTACAACCTCCCTCACCGCGGTCGCGAGCTATGAGCAGGCTGTTTTAAGAAATCACTGAAAGATGTGGTGCAAAACAAAGAGGAAAAACCAAATGCATGAACGTCTTTATGAACTCCTTTGCACGTCCGTCCCGTCTCTTGTTGTGAGCTCAACTTCGCCACGCAAGGCGTGAACATCGTCTCAGGGAATACGCAATGGAGCCACAAGCCCGCCTGGTCCTTCTCAAGCAATCAACCAGATGTCCGACAGTTCGACCGTCCACCGTGTGGTCCACAACAGGGTGGGAGCAAGGGCGGTGACGTGAGCCTAAATTAGTGATAGAAGAATTTCCCTGCATCTATCCTCCCTCAGCTGGATGTGGTTTCAAGACAGAGCCAAAACCGGAGGCTGGAGAGGACGCAGGTGTCTCACATGGCGAGGGCGCGCATCTAGGCGTGCCGCCACATCCCCTGGTCCACAAAGGACACTGGCCAGGATCTTATAGGGCAAAATGGGAGAGGGGGCGGCACGGATCCCAGTTGGCCCGACGTGAGCCTGCAACTGGGTCTGGCGCTACACCCCAATGTTGGCATTTGTCATGTGTACGTATTCCCAATCAAGCCTGTCAGAGTCCGATCTAGCCATCATAATAGTCCGACGCATCTAACGCGTAGCCAGTTTTAGTGGTAAAACCAGATTCCCAACACCGGCTTGTCTATACGCTGTAACAAGCATACTCATGCGCGCACACAAACTTCCCTGACCGGCCACCGCTAGCTGAGACTACGTCACGGTCCCCTGCAGGATTAGCCCTCTCAACTTGGTAATTTCGTCTTATTCTAAACACAATATGCTTCTGGTCGTGACGGCTAGGGTACCTCTACTATCTTAGCCAGCACGCTTTGTACGACATTGATCACAATTACTCCAGCTGCTTTCAATGATGGTGGTGGTGGTGGTGGTGGTGGTGGTGGTGGTGGTGGTGGTGGTGGTGGTGGTGGTGGTGGTATGAACAACCACGATCCGGTAAAGATAACGACCCGATTCGAAAGTGCATAGGTTGTCTTGACCTAGAAATCCTGAGAATGATGGTTTTTGCAATGACGGATGAACTGGTTTGTCGAGCTTTTGATCCATAAAAGTACATCCTGCAGGTTTTGGTTGATGACCCTAAAGAGGAAATCTCGTCAGCATAGTCGGTGCCATCGGAATGGTATAAGACCTTTCGAAAGGTCAACAAATGAAGTTGAATAGAGTAAGATATTAGATATTATTCGAGAGGACCAATCGAGTTTCAAACGGCTGGACGGCTGTTACAGACAAGAAATTGGGCATGCGTGGACCGACAGTGCGCCCAGATAAAAAAACTGTCGGGAATTTGTCCATCTCGATCACCGGATGCAAGCTCGTGAGGAATGGAATGCAAGGTTATGAGGAAGTCAATATGACGAGTGGCGGCTAAAAGTAGTGTAGTAGGGTCTGAAATTTGCATTAAGCACACATTGGAAACAATCGTGACAAAGCAGCAATTCACATCAAGCAGTCACACAGGGCAAAGGATCTACCATTGACTTAGCGGTTAAGTTCCATGAATTTTAGTCGCAAACAGTCGAAGAAACATGTGCGTGCGCGCGGTTGCAGAAGGAGTACTTGTTAAATGTTCAATTTTAAGCTGCCTTTGCAGACAGTGGTGTGGTATTTCAGTTGATAGGGTGGACGGTCACAAAGAGAGGAACAGGGAATTATATATCTGTCTCAAAAAGGCAGACATCAATGTTGTCACCCCCATCTATTTTCCTCTCGGTCTAGGCCGCACAGCAAGACTGTTCGTGTTTAAGAGGCCTCAGCTATACTTTACTGCAGCAACTACGAAAGTAAGGCGTCCAGACGCAGTCGAAAGGTGGGCTTCCAGGTGTTTACAGACGAGAGGGTAATTCGCTCCAAAGTAATTTTGTTGTTTTGCCTTTTATGTTAAATTGTTGCCTTGTTTCAGATAAGAGGGTCAGCTACCTGCAATGCTATACGCAGAATAACGCAAGTTGCATCTTGACAGATGAATAAGTGAAAGACTTTTGATAAGGAAGCATGCTTCACGAATGTGCGGTCAGCCTAACACTCCGAAGCCTTACAAAGGGAATTATCTTACAACCATTGTGAAACGTGTGCTTTGCTTGAAATTACTGTTATTTACACTGTCGGAAGATGAAATCTGGAATTAAGGTTGTGCCGATGCCACCACAGAAGGAAAAGTGCTTGGAATACGCCTCCATCATATAAATATGAAACAGATAAAAATAAATTTTAGTAAGTCTGCCAAAGTGAAAGGACCTAGGATGAAAAATCCCAGCAGCGTGTTTTTGCGGAAACCCAACTGTCATTCTGACCGGATTTGAAAAAAGGTGTGTGGTCAAGAGTTAATTACCTCAGAACCGTCAGTGTTGATGTCATTCTTGTTTTCTTCATTATCTACTGTTGATAGGAGGGCTATGCGCAATTGCAGAATAAGGCGGATGAGGTCACCCGCTTCATACCCGGGAGTCCGATGAGCGATTTCAGCCAAGGTAAGCCCTTCATCCAAAATGAGTGAAACGTTCTGGTTTAAACTATGAGAGACGCCATCACTTTCTCCATTTACAGAAGGTGAGGACCCTTCGATCAGGAATTTCGAAAGGAGGCTGTAGGAAGAGGAAGTAAAGAAAGCATGCGAGGCAAACAAAAAGAAAATAATACGGTCGGAAAGACATGTCTACCTGAGACGGCATTTCTCCTCCATCATGCCGAAAGTAAGTCGGTGTGTAAAGAGGTCTGTAACGGGCTGAGGGAGACTTGCAAGGAGATTGCGAGTTTCACCAACGACGACAATCCCAGACCCAATACAATCTAAGAAAGTATAACAAATCTGCCTAAAAGCAAGGCAAAAATGGATGACAGGCACACAGAGTGCTAAGCACGAAAATCAATACCGGGAAGCAGTTGACTTTTGAGCAGGCACGTCAACCGAAAGGTTCCAGACGGTGCGGACTGCTTCTCCATGCTTTCGATGTCATCGATGTGAAGGATACACGGTGAGTTAGTCTGCGTTGTTACTCATAAAGTGAATCATTAAAGTACCTTCGCCTGATTAAATATTTCCCTCCAGGTTCTGATAGTGGGTGTCAGCATTCCAACAGAAACAGACAGAAAGTTCACACGCAAGGTCTACAAATTAACGTCAACGACCAAGAGACAAACCCCTGCTATGGCTTTCACTAGCGTGGTTTTGCCACAGAAAGGTGGACCGTTTATAAGAATAGAGGGCCAGACATCAGGTATATCACTTGGAAACAGATGGCATTTTAAAAGTAAACTGGCTTGATTCTACATGACATGAAGAAAATGACGCTCCGAAAAACCTTTAAGTTGTCCGGGATAGTCGAAGATAAATCTGACAATAACAGAGATGGAATGGAACATGGTATGTTCGCTAAAACATAAGTAAACAAGACATGCATACAGGTGGCTGAAGTAAGCTTGGGCTTTTTAGGAGGGGGAGTTTCATCTATGTTGTCAACCAAGTCGGAGTCATCGGGGGAGCGCTTATAATCCTCAGGCAAATTCGCGGGAACATCGTCAACCATCATATGCTTTGCGTTCACAAACCTTAAAGCTTAAAAGGTTATGAAAAGGCTTGCGAACATTTCAGCGCGTCTTTCCGCCAATTTTTTATGTTATCCTTCCGGCAATTAGTTTTTCCATCTTTCAGAACGTAATTTAGAAATTCTTGGAGAGAGGAAGGGTCGTCAGCAGTTTGGATAAACTGATGTAAGTAACCGATCAAAGGAAACATTGACTTACACTCTCTGCAAGCGGAATTAAGAACTTTCGTTGTATCTGCGGCGAATTGTACCCCTCAGAGAAATCCATGACCCCACTGTGACTCGAAGGGCTCAGATTGATCGAAGCACGTGCGTATGTATGACTAGGATTTCAAGGTTACTGACAGTGGCAGAAGTGATTGTAAGGAGTATGCGATTAAAGTCCAGGGATTACCAGGGAATCAAAGACTTTTGTGTACATTATTGCGTTAACTCCAAAATCTTTACGTGGGGAAAGAAATAATCATTCCGAATACGCGTTTATGTATATATTTGAAGACAATAGGCGGAACCCTTGAAGTGCATATTGATATACGATTTCAGATCGTAAACGACTGTAAATATAAACCCACGCATGCACATGCTCAACACAAAAAACCGTATTTTGTATTTCTTGCGAATAGGTCTTTAATTAAACTGCGAGGATTCGGAAATAAGGTGGATGAAATCATGTAATTAAGATCATAGCTGAGAAAGAAGTTCGAAACAATGTGCGGTTTCAGTGGAACTAGTCAGTAATACTACGAAAGACGACAACTACTCACCTAGCACAGACACCAACCTGGAACCAGCCGCTCGAGGCGACAACATAAGTAAGCCCTTAAAGGCCAGTATTTTCGCTGAAGCAACGAACATGAACGGAACCCATCAAGTAACGGGAGAGTCCAGAAAAAATGATGTCTGAGATAACACAATAATGCCCTTAAAACCCACATATGAAGCGCGAAATTCGGCCGGTGCACAGTTAAGGCTCAGATCAGTTCAGTTCAGTTTATTGAGAGAAATAGGCGTGAGATTTTGAGCAACCCGTTTACTACGTAAAACCGAGTACAGTGTACAGAGAAATAACATGGATTAGAATAGTTCAAACGAGCCCATAATGGTAGGACGAAATGGGAGTAAGTCACAGGGGATGAGCGCGAGCACTCATCGCTCGTGGTCATTCCGGAACAAAAATATGTCAAGGCTTTTTCCAAAACTTTGTATCGATGGTGACATCACAACATCTGCAGGAAGGGCATTCCGTGATTTGATCATTCGAACAGAGAAGGGGAACTTCCGCATATCCAGCCTTGTCTGCTGAGTGAGCAGTTTTAATGGGTGACTTCGGAAGTTGGTCGTGGGAGCAAATTCAAAAACGTCCTCAAAGACCAGACTGCAAGCCAACTAATTCACTACGCGGAATGCCTGCAAGTGATCCCCGCGAAGTTTCCTATAACTAAAGGGGAATAGTTCAGCGAATATTCCCATGTTTCAATTGAAAAGTCAAATTGGCGAACACGTGTTTTCAGTAACTCTTCATCAGGCCAAAACGGTTACAATGAAGTTTAAGTTATGCGAATTACATGACTTATAAATGATTCGGGGACAATTAACATCGATCGTTCCCACGCCACTCGCATGACGAGGCGTGCTATGGCGTGGTCGGCGTGTCGTGGTAATTGGTTTCAGGGGGCGAGGAGGAGGGGGGCATAGGCTGTGAGTGCGTCGTGTACCTTGTGCACCCACCCTGGCATCAGGAGGTTGGAGCGACGTTGGGGTCGGCGTCGGCCACGGAAGACAGAGCGCCTGTGTCAGAGTCTTCTGACAGCATAGCACTGGATTGGCTAGCCGTATAGCCACTGCCTCAGCTGTAGCTAGCACCCGTTGGCGTAGGCCTTTGGAGAAGCCTGCTGGTGTCCGGTAGACAATCTGAAAGGCTTCTTTGGCATCGACTCGGTGATTCGTATCGACAAGATGTGCGGGAATAGAACTCGAGATCGATTTCTTCTCACCTTTGCCTAACCAGGCCGGTATGTGTTCACGTACTCTCTTTTACAAACGCCTCGTTGTACGGCCGATGTAGCCCGCTCCACAGGAGCAAGTGAATGAATAAATACACATTGATGTGGCCTGCAACGGGAGTCGGTCTTTACCTCCCAAGCGTAGGAGGGGAGAGTTAGTGAAACACACACGTAAGTTCGCCGCGGGGAAAGCGCTAGTGATCGCTGTCTTCAGACGTCTTTTTACCAGTTCACTTGCTGCGTCTCCTTGAAAAGGCAATCTTATAAATAAGTCCTTCTTTTCTGCAGTTGCCATGGTAGGTTTTGCAGTGCGCTTCCCTATATTTCGAAGGATAAATCTTTCTGGATATCCGTTTTCGTGGAGTGTATCCCGCAGCTGCTGGAGTTCTGCCTCCACAGTCTCAGGAGAGCAGATACGTCGCACTCTAGCTGCCAATCCCTGGACTAGATTTCGTTTGATGTTGAGGGGAACAAAACTGTGAAAGTTAATGTATTTTCCCGTCCAGGTTTTCTTTCGGAATACTCTACGTTGGATAGACCCATCCTCTTGTCTGTGCAGAAGAACGTCAAGGAACGCGATTTCATTGTTTGCCTCAAACTCTGCAGAGAACGTTAGCGAGGGGTGTGAATTGTTGAATTTTTGAATCAGGACGTCTGTGTCGGTGGTTACATCCGTCAGGCAGAAAATATCGTCTACGTACCGACCGTAGAAGCTGAGGTCATTAATGGTGTCTTGTAAACTTGTCATCTCGACTTTGCCCATGAAGACATTTGCGAGGAATGGGCCGAGCGGTGAGCCCATCGCTACGCCGTCTATTTGCCTGTACAATTGACCATTGCAGAGAAACTGGACGTTTTGCGTGCACTTTGTCAGAAGCTCTTTTAGCGTCTCCAACGGCATGCCTAACGGGTAGTTCGTGTCGCGGATAACGTCACAAAGGTAGTTTATTGTTTCGGCTACGGGTACATTAGTAAACAATGATGCTACGTCTAAAGAAAGCATCCTCCGTCCGTCAACGTTAATATCCTCTATCGCCTCGACAAACTCGAAGGTGTCCTTCAGACTTAGGGGATATAAATGACTTTGCAGCGGTTTAAGCTTTTCGACTAGCCACTTTGCTATGGTGTGATAGGGCGAATTCCGCATATCCAGGATCGGACGTAGGGGTAGTCCGTGTTTGTGAATTTTTGGAAGGCCGTACATTCTGGGTATGGCCGTGCCCACTGGTCTTAGTCGCTCATATTCTTTGTCAGATAAATGACCTTCTTTGGGGAGAACTTTGTGGAGATTCTAGGCGGGTTGCATAGGGAAAGGTGCCTTGACCACTAACAATCTACGTGGCTCTCCTCTGAACTCTTTCGAGGCAGTTTTGATGCTCAACTACCCACGGTCTCCAGGCTTGTACGACGTACTCAAAGTGCGGTCGGACAAATGCTCTAAAAGTCTTTGAGAAGACGTTTTCGTCAAAATCCATAAACAGACACTTGATGGCGTACAGTACAGACATTGCGCTTTTTGCCACTCTCTAACAATGAGTGGATAGTTTTAGGGAGTTCATCGTCAGCACAGCGAGGTCCCTTTGGACTTCCTTGTCTCGTAATGCTGTACCGTCCAGAAAGTAGTCCCTTGCACTGCCGGATCTAGCTGTGTTGCCTAGGCGAAGTATGCTACATTCGCCAACATTAAACCGTTGCAGATGACCCTATATCGGTTGGAAGGATGGTCAGACCATTGGCTGCTGTGGTTTAACGCGGGTAAGTGTAGCATTCTTCGCCTAGGCAACACAGCTAGATCCGTCAGTGCAAGGGACTACTTTCTGGACGGTACAGCATTACGAGACAAGGAAGTCCAAAGGGACCTCGCTGTGCTGACGATGAACTCCCTAAAACTATCCACTCATTGTTAGAGAGTGGCAAAAAGCGCAATGTCTGTACTGTACGCCATCAAGTGTCTGTTTATGGATTTTGACGAAAACGTCTTCTCAAAGACTTTTAGAGCATTTGTCCGACCGCACTTTGAGTACGTCGTACAAGCCTGGAGACCGTGGGTAGTTGAGCATCAAAACTGCCTCGAAAGAGTTCAGAGGAGAGCCACGTAGATTGTTAGTGGTCAAGGCACCTTTCCCTATGCAATCCGCCTAGTAAATCTGAGCCTATTCCCCTTTAGTTATAGGAAACTTCGCGGGGATCTCTTGCCGTAAATTGTTGCTATACTTTTCGAAAAGTCTAGCAACACTTTACGGTGAAAACTGACGGAGCAATCAGTTCCGAAAAGGCCCTTTATAATATCCTTACCCTTTAAGGCGACAATAGCTCTAGTACCATCAAGCGGCGATGGAGATGGGCCAAAAAATCTCTAGAAGACGGTGAACGTCATTGAACACCATGTTAAGCGAAATAAAAAGAGAAATCGAACGAAGTTTTCGGATCAAACTTTCGAGTCTATCGAAATACGGGAGAACAAAATGAGAACGGACGGAAATGAAAGTAATTTTTGCATTTCCGACAGGTTGCAGTTGATAAGACATCGCAAAATTTATTGATCCCAATAAATTCTGCTGTCTATGTTTGCTTCAAATTCATCCCGTGGAAATATTGCTTCTGTTGGGAGTGCCTACACAGAGCCAGCCAATCACTGGAGCCATGTGCGTTTTCTTTACTGCGCTGTCATCTTAATCGCGGCGCCTCTCTACTGGTTTTTCCCCTCGGGCCTGATCGATCTGCATATTCGAATTATCCACCGGCTCGTCTGGAATGTTCTTCCCGAAGGGCATTGGGTCGAATGCCGGCGAACCACAGTAGGGCGTTATAAATATGCGTTTCTTCCAGTTAATTTTGATTTGCAATTTCCTTATACATATTTTCGTGGCCGGTCACGTTCTCCTTCTCTGCCGCGTTGGCATTAGGTACAAGAGTCGGATACGCATACGATCCCACGTGTATTCAAGTCCCAGGCCGGGTCATATCAGCTTCCACTATCCC